CCACACACACACACCTCCCAATACCTCCTCTCCCAGTCTCTGTCCCCTCATTCTCTCTTGCTGCCGACTGTGTGACAGACGTCACGAAACATACCCTATCACCTTCGGTGAGATTGCGTTATTTAAAATCGCACTTGCAGTCAAAATAGACATGACCAAGACCAATTGCAAGAGAAAATGAATTGAATCAGCCTCTGGAAACTGACCAACCGAATTAGCATTTTATAGTTGGATTGTCGACATGCATGCAGTCAAGTATGTCGAGTATGGCAAACGCGTAGATAATCAACACGATCGGTAATTCGAGAAAGCGATCTAGGGATTGTTTTAAGTCAATTACAGCTGGATCACATTACTTAAGATCAACTCCAGTTATTATCTTTATATAGAGACGATCTTCCAAAGGAATTCACACATACTGACGGCAGGTAACACTTTTTAGCTCTTCTTTGTAGCTTTGTTCTTTCAGGTCTCTTTTGACTTCTTGTTGTTTCAAATGGAGATATTGCGAATTATTGCTATTATTGGGCCTACGAGTAATCCTCTTCCTCTTGTAGCTAAATCTACGTCCAACAGTTACGCTTAGTTAGTGAAATTGTACTTGTGAAAACAATGATATAATTGTCTCGGTCTCGTATCTGGTCAGACGTTGGATAATCGCTCATTCGCATCACTGTCTAGTTTGCGATCAGACCTTCGGGACGTTTCCCTGATTTTTCTTTGCCGCATCATATCATCTTTCCTCAAATTCCGGATCCATTTTGTCGCCGTCAGCATTGTTTTTCTAAATGGCCAAAACGCTCTGGGCGTGTTTGTGTTGCACTCATTCAACTAGTTTCACTGTACACAAAAGACTGTTCATTTTGTTGCATTTTGAGTCGAGAGACCACCAAACCAGCATGCAAGAACGATTCTAAAATTATAAAAGGTCTTGCAATTAAGTGAATTGCTTTTAACCTATTTAATAATTTAATAAAATTGTATGCTGAAAGAACCTGTCACGCCTACTTTAAAAATCACAGTGCGTGACAAGCTTGAAAGTGAAAGTGAAGTAGTTTGTTTCCTTTTTTGCCAGCTCGACATGTATACAAGATACCCAATAGATCGAGTTTAAGAGATAAGCAAGTTACATTAAAGATTCGAAAAAAGTGGCTACTCCCTTGGGTCTAAGTAACCTTTGCTTGACCATCCATCACGCTTGGAACAACTTCCGGTAAGAAGCACGTCACTGAAACACCTTTTCCGGAGTTTCCGTGAAGGGAAGTAGACACAAAAATACAACAAACGTGCACGGACAAGGATACTACGGTTTTACTGGTAAAAAGCAAACATTATACAAAGAAGGTTAAAATGGCCGGTAGTGTTCTTCATTTTTAAAATGACGTCATCGATTAGAAAATAACGGGAAGTAGTAGCCTCGCTCCGATGTTCCATGAGAGCGAGGTCAGGGGAGTAAGATATAAAGACCTGCATTGTAGCGTATTCAAATTTTAGGTCCTTGACAAGCTAAACAACTGAAACAGGAGAGAATAATTACGGTAAGTTGATTGATCATCACTAAGTAGCGTTCCCATGTTAATAAATGCTTGAGTACGAATATCGCAAGATATTTATTCTTTAATAGTAGACCCTTTTGAACAGGTTCTATGTATAATAAATATCTGATAATCGCTCCTGTATAATTTACCATCATCCGTTACGGCTTCGCAACTCGCGCGGGTGAAAAATTACTGAAATATGAAAATCAAAAATGGCCAGGGAGATTAAAATGATTGGAGAGAGGTTTAAAGGCATCTTTAATTTGTCGATGCAAAAACAATTTGTACAGAGTGTTTGAGTCTAGTTTTCGACTGAATTAGGGAAGAGTAACACAAAAGGGGAATACTCCTTCTGAATTTGCAGCCTAAAGTTACATCTGTGACCTGTGACATGATAATGAAAGGCGTTGAAACCGTTCATGACCGAAGATTAAGAGAGATATTGGGCATTTACAAAAAAATGCGTGGAGTCTAGCCTGTGTAGCAAATGTTCCCATGGGACAATGCGGAAACTCGTCACTCGCGCGCTATGTCGAATCGAGCTACTGAATGAAACATTTCATAAAAACGAAACGAAGTACGAATGCTCAAAAACTGGCAAAGGTAAACTTAGATTCCTTTCCTAGATTCCTCCTATTCTAGTTGGGCCGACAGAAAAAGTCAACCTAGCTAGAACGTGACAATAAGAGAGGAACTAGCATCGGATCCCGAGGGGGTGTAGAAATACGTACAATTCCACTGACAATGTCAAACCTAAGTGAACTAGAAGTAAATTGGATGAAAAACTTACATAGCAACCATAGACTACAAGTAGTCCCTCTTTCTCTTAGTCCGTCATGCGTTTCGCGAAAGAAAACTGCGAGGAAAAAACGGCCGCGCGACCAAGGCTGACGAAAGATATTCGAGCCTCGTTTAGGATCCGGAATCTGAACTTCAAGACAGGCAGAGTCAGGAATCCGCGCCAAAAGCACAGCTGATCCAAGTTCAGCTGTATTTTCAAAATCCACGAATCCGCATATCGCAAAATTCCGTAATCCGCAAACCTATTTACCCCCCGTCTCCCTGATTGCAGTTCCTTTGATGGTTTAGCCTGGAGTCAGTACAAGAAATTAGCTAACAGATACTAGTAATTTTCACAGTCTCTCGTGGAGAGAAATGAGCACTCGGCTCTGTGGGAGATTTATATGGAATGAAATGAAATAAGTCATTTAAATTAATTTAAATACTCGATTTATATTCAGTTTATCAAAAGTAATCGATTTTTTTCAACTTCTTTTCAAGGGTTAATAAGATTATTACATNAATATCTGATAATCGCTCCTGTATAATTTACCATCATCCGTTACGGCTTCGCAACTCGCGCGGGTGAAAAATTACTGAAATATGAAAATCAAAAATGGCCAGGGAGATTAAAATGATTGGAGAGAGGTTTAAAGGCATCTTTAATTTGTCGATGCAAAAACAATTTGTACAGAGTGTTTGAGTCTAGTTTTCGACTGAATTAGGGAAGAGTAACACAAAAGGGGAATACTCCTTCTGAATTTGCAGCCTAAAGTTACATCTGTGACCTGTGACATGATAATGAAAGGCGTTGAAACCGTTCATGACCGAAGATTAAGAGAGATATTGGGCATTTACAAAAAAATGCGTGGAGTCTAGCCTGTGTAGCAAATGTTCCCATGGGACAATGCGGAAACTCGTCACTCGCGCGCTATGTCGAATCGAGCTACTGAATGAAACATTTCATAAAAACGAAACGAAGTACGAATGCTCAAAAACTGGCAAAGGTAAACTTAGATTCCTTTCCTAGATTCCTCCTATTCTAGTTGGGCCGACAGAAAAAGTCAACCTAGCTAGAACGTGACAATAAGAGAGGAACTAGCATCGGATCCCGAGGGGGTGTAGAAATACGTACAATTCCACTGACAATGTCAAACCTAAGTGAACTAGAAGTAAATTGGATGAAAAACTTACATAGCAACCATAGACTACAAGTAGTCCCTCTTTCTCTTAGTCCGTCATGCGTTTCGCGAAAGAAAACTGCGAGGAAAAAACGGCCGCGCGACCAAGGCTGACGAAAGATATTCGAGCCTCGTTTAGGATCCGGAATCTGAACTTCAAGACAGGCAGAGTCAGGAATCCGCGCCAAAAGCACAGCTGATCCAAGTTCAGCTGTATTTTCAAAATCCACGAATCCGCATATATGGAATGAAATGAAATAAGTCATTTAAATTAATTTAAATACTCGATTTATATTCAGTTTATCAAAAGTAATCGATTTTTTTCAACTTCTTTTCAAGGGTTAATAAGATTATTACATCATGTCAGAGGAGAGGATTGGTCTGGCCTGCTCCGGTGGTGGGATTCGTTCGGCCGCATTCAGTTCCGGCGTGTTAAGAAGGCTTCTTCACCGCGGAGTCAAAATCGACTACGTTAGCTGTGTGTCTGGCGGGAATTATGTCGCTGCATCTTACCTGGACTGGAAATACAGACACAAACAACAAGATGGCCACGAATGGCATAAAAAATTCTTCGAGGACATGCGTAGTAGGGTTGGCTACGTTTGTAACTGGGAAAGACCCCTTCAAGGAATTGTGGAGACCATCATACTCGTTCTACTGCTAATCACGGTCAACCTTGTCATCCCTTGTGTCATGTACAGCGTTGGAGCTTTTACCGCTGCTTACGTCATCGACTACGTGCTCGGCAGGGTCATGCTTAAAGGCTTCAAGTGCATCGACGTGCCCATGAATTCAACCGGAAGTGCTACCAACAGTTCTGCCACAGAAAGGCACTGCACAGCAGAATTTGCCATCAGTGACCCGGAGGTACGAGAACAATTTATCTTGTTCTTTCTGCTGTCCATAACATTCATCGTCTTTTACTCCATCAAGGTTGTCGCTCCGATAAGATTCCGCTCGATTGCTCGATTCTTCCAGGTTTTAAGTGGAGTGGTGTTTATGTTCACCTTTATGCCTTGGTTGATACAGCAGTTCTTTGAGGTTTTACCTTCCTGGCTCAACACCATGGTGATCGTGCTAAGTCTGTTCTTCTGGCTCGGATTTCCGCCTCTGAGAAAGAAAGCCTCGCTAGCTCTCGTGTTATACTTCTACGCCTTCGTGGTGAAGTGGCGAGTGTACCAGACTAAGGTGATTGGCATTGCTTACGATGAACACCTTTTCTACAAACTCCTGTTAATTTCTGGAGGCTTCATCTGGCTGAGTCCTTATTTTGGCATGTTCAGCATGACGGCAATTTTTACTTATTACAAGTAAGTAGTGGTGTTAAGTTACTAACTTGCCTATCTAAACAGTACGCGTTTTTCTTTTACATAATATGAAAAAATGGATTCCGCGAGCCAACCCGAACGCCCTTGGTGCAATAAGTCCAAAAATTAATTTCTTTTTTGACAACGTTCTGGTGGACCAAACAAAATCTAAGAACTAGGGAACAGTGCTAAGTTATCCTCTTGGGTAGGCTCTATATAAATATCTATATCGTTATAATTATTATAATTATAATCATCATCATCATTATCATCATCATTATTATTATTATTACCATCCCAAGATGCGGAGATGTTGCGGGTATTACTATGACGAATTGAAGTTTCTGAGGGAATCGTCCTGATGAATTGCGAGGCTCACCTGTGTCCAAGAGACTTCTCCTCCCGGTTTCACTAGAAATGTTCACGTTCGTTCAAGGTCCGAACATATCAACTCTAGGACGTCGCGTCCTCCCTAATGAATGGACTGTTTTGCAGTTACGAATTATCTTAATTTTGATGGTAACTTGTGGACTTTCAGGTGGAGGCTTCAGAGAGCGTTCTTTACAAAGAAGAGTGTTGGGTCACTTGGTTGCAAAGGAATCGGCTGCCGAGACTTCTTTCCAATCCTCTCTTGTTGCCATCATAAGCACGATCCCGCCGAGGACCCTCTCGTCATGTCGGACCTTGAAGAGGTCACACCCCAATATATCAGCAACGTGGCAGTTGACTATTGGCGCAAGAAACCGTCCTTGAAAGAGCCATCCTACAGTGTGATGGCTCTGTCACCGACCGAAAATGAGAGAGTCGACCACCAACCGGGGGAGCCTGGAGTGGAAGATACATTGTTGCCAAGAAACGTGAACCAGGCTGATGCCATGGTAACTTCTGCTGCCGTGATGGCGATAAGTCCCGAGCAGGACGAGCCGTTCAGGGATCTGCAGATCCTCTTAGGTCTCACACTCAGAAAAGGTATAAGAAGTAATCCCCATGATTCAGTTAGGTGCGTAGGGAAAGGAATACTTAACAAGGTAAGACACGAGGGAAAAGTGTAGAAAAATAAACTGACTCGTTTGCATTCCAACATTTATGCGTCTGCAGTTTAGGTTATAAATCGAAATGAGGATGGTTTGGGAGCCCATGACGCGACAATCCTTGGACGGTTGTAAGAATGATAATGATGGGGACGGGCATGGCGACGGCAGCAGAGCCGACGGCGGCGTCCGCGATAATGTTTCCTCTATTTTCACTGTTTGTTCGTTTAGCGGCCATCTCGAATAATTGACAGTCCCCCACCCCCCCTCCCCACCCGTTTCCCAATGTATCCTGAGTTTTTTATCGTTTACCTGGACTTCTCAAGATGATTGCACGACGATCAAACAGTAAAACATTGCTGAAGAGCTGTTCACATTCTTTAACAGCTTGCCACCGAAGTTGATAGAAAACTGAGGCAAACAGTCCAATAATTAATTGTTTTAGGTCTAGTCGGTTTTGGGCGACTTTTGAGCCCAAAAACAAACTACAACAAAAACCCGGAAAATTCAAAATTTTAAAAGAAGAATACGTTCGCCATACGAACATTAAGTTCATTAACCAATCACACGCCATACCAAGTTGCTGCCAGAAAAATTTCAGTAAACGTCAATATATTTCGAGTCCAGTTGATTCAATGTTTTTAAAGTTACAAACGTTCAAAGTTGGTGAGCCTCAAAAGCACCTCCCCGTCGTCTGAATAGGATTAAACTCACGATAAACCAACAGACTGAGTTACTAAAGGTTTTGGTTAATGCAAGTAAATACATATCAGCGCTGAGGCCTTCTTTGGGTCGATAGTACATACCTGTAAGGTTTTAGCTTGCGTTTGCAGCGCTTCGAGTAATCATAACCCGCGAGTTGGAACGTAGGACACGCGCGTGTGGAGAGGAGCTTTTTCCTTTTCCTCGCGTGTATGCGCCGCGCATGTGTCCTCGCTCTCGTGCACCACTCCAACTTGCACACTGTATCATTCGAGCACCTTCAGTGCAGGCTGCCAATTTTTGTTTCGTTTTGTTTCAGATTTTACCAGTTTTAATCCAGAGCATCGCCGCATTTCCTGTAATATTTCTCGCTGTTATTTCCTTGTCACACTGGAACATGAAGCATACTGAGGGTTACGCAGTCGCTGTGTTTGTGGCATATGTGGTAATATTTTTTGCCATTGCTATCATGCCAACGGGCGGTGATCCGCCATGGTTTTTTGACAGATTTGCAAGGTGAGAAATTGGATTATTTTCGTATCTTGTCTCTTTATACGGTAAAGAAAACGTAAATTTGATGGCTGCGACCAATTAGCCAGGATTTTTCTTAGGTGGGGCTAAATGCCGTTTTCAGAATGAATGAATGAACGAACTTTATTTAAGGGTCAGAGTGTTAAGCTAGATATTAGCTAATTGTGGACGCTAAAAGAACGTTCCAAATACAAAATGAAAAAAAGTTAAAGTAGGGATGCTACGAATGCTAATAGTCTGTTTTAAAATTTACAATCGTCAGTTTTAAAATCGTTCAAAATTTACAATTCCGAATTTTTTTTTTAGAACATTCACAAATTTATAACTTTAGTTAGAAGGTGATAAAATTCCATTGTAAATTTCGGTGAATGAAGTCGTCTTTGTTTCTCACTTTGCTGTTATTATTTTCGAAGATGAACTAAGATGAAAATGGATGATGGAATTTGCTGTTGAAACCACAATAGTTTCCCTTACCGTTCAAAATGTCTGCAAATAACAGACAGCGAGGATGTTGTGTAGCAAACAGTGGCGGATCTATGGGAGCCCCCCCCCCCCCNGCTCTTCTCCTGTTGAAAGGGAAACGAGATAATTTCCTTTGTGTATGAACTATGTTGCGCAGGAAATGGCGTTGGATTGGCCATACGCTCAGAAGAGTTAGCAGCAATGTGGCAAGACGAGCCCTGAACTATCAAACACAGGGAAAGAGGACAGTTGGACGGCCCAGGAACAACAGGAAGCGGTCCATGGTGCAGGAGGTGGAAAGAGTGGAATACTCCTGGAAAGAGAGCCAAACAGTGGCGGATTAAGGGGAGGGGCCCGGGGAGCTCGCCTCCCCCCCCCCCCCTCCCCCCTCCGCTCAAGGTCTGGAAAGAAATCATAGAAGGAAGAAAAGCCGGCAGGGCAAGCAAAACAACCCGGACCCCCCTAGCTCAAGGTCTGGATCCGCCACTGACAAAGATATCAATAACAGCATCTATGGCGATAGTTGATGATCTGTTGTAGTGCTCATTCATAAGAACCAGTGGATTCTCTTTCGGTGCTCACTGTATTGTGCAAGTATGTTTTCAGCCGCTTGGGAAAGCTGAGGGACCACTCGCTCTCAGCTAAAGTTGCCGTTACATTAATGCGCACAAGATTCGTGACAGCAAGTGTATGTTGGGTAATGAACATATCTGGCATTGCAGCTTGGAAAAGCTTCCAGTCCGCTACTGGGGAGCGGGGGGTTGTTCAATTTTCTCTCACTTATTGCGCACCGCCCAAACTCTACATCAAATAACATTGGGCGAAACATGTTGCTCTCCGGCGTAGAAGTTAGCTGCTTCAGCGACGTCGCTGTAGTCTGAGCTATCACCCTAAACCTCTGAAAGCAAGCAGATGAGCCTGGATTTATTAGTCTGATCCTTGCTGGTCGTTTTTGCGCTTTCAGACTCTTATTGTCCTTCTAATCAGTTGTCTAGTGGTTTTCTCTTCCTGGTGCTAACACCAATCTCTTCTTTTTATTCTATTAAGGTGGTGTCATGTGCATCTGTATCACGTTCGATTGCTGCGCGAAGTCTTTCAAGTCGATAACGTTGGTCCCATTCCACCAGCGCTCTTGTCTCTCAGCGACGCTGGGCGCCTGGAGAAATTCGGTTTGCTGCCTCTGCTGAAAAAGAGGCTCAAAAGAATCCTCATCCTTGATGGAAGCTTCATCAAGAACGATGAAGATTACTCCAAGCACATTCTGAGATCACTGGACCAAGCAAGACGAGAATTGCACTGCGAGTTCGTGGGATCGGAGGGGCGCGATGTCATAGAAGAGATGAGAAAGAAGTACGTGGATGTCCCTCGGGGTCATCAGCCGAGACATTATCGATTTAAGGTTCGGTATTACAACAAGAATCCGCGAGGAGGCTACTTGGAAGTCGGCGAAGGCGAGATAATGATCATTGCTCCGCGTCACCCTGACAACGGAGAAAAGCCTCCGCCAGACATGGAGACAACTTGGGGCCAGTACACCCGCGACACCGGAAATGAACTGGACCCGAAAGAATGGGGTCCAGGCCCCGTTCTGCGGGCCGAGGATGTTGATCGGCTTACATTTTGTTGCTGTGAATGTTGTCATTCAAACTCGAAAGTTCTTCGCTGGATTTCGAATAAGCTCTGCTTGGGATTCCCGAGTACCTCTACCGCCAATCAATTCTTCACGCCTTCCCTCTTTACAGCCTATCACCGAGAGGGATATCGCGCATGCGTGCAATCCGGTGCTGAAGAATTCCTGACCAATGGAGCGACCATTGACCTCGGAAATATCGTGTAATACAATCCGCTTCTCAAGATCTTTGATAAAAAAGTGGTGCATGCTATAGACAATCATAGATAATACCGTGAACTGCCTTTTATTTAAGCCCCTCCCCCGGTTGTAGGCCCATCTACCTGTAGACCAAAAACTACATCCGGTTAAAAGTCCCCCTCCCCCTGGATATGAGCCCCGCTCTAGCTTTCCTTGTTTTGAATTCGTTTTATTAGGAGGTTTTAAAGCTTAATTAAAAGCCAGTAAATCGGAAAAACGTATTTCGATCAACAGAGGACCACACAGCTTTAGCTCGTTTCGAAACGGTTTTTTATGCCGGTTTCAATACCCCTCGGATATAAACCCCTCCGTTTATATGCCCATCTAACACCCCTTACGAAGTTGTATAAGCCCAGGGCTTATAAGCGGCAGTTTACTTTATTTGTACGTTGTGTCAGTAGGCCGGTGACCAAGAAAAGATCAAGGTAAGTACCCTGGTCTTCTCTTGGTTTAGACAGAACAACTTTGTCGCATACCACATTTTTAAAGCGCGCTGCTCGAGTCAGGTGAAATGGGACACTACTTTTACCTATGAACGTTGTCTCAGGTTATTGTGGCAGGGTTTCAAAACATGTTCCCAAGTAAGTTGTAGTCTTGTTGTGCAGAAAACGATTCTTGCGATACTGCTTTATTACAGTTTTATTGCTTAAATCAGAACAGAAAAATTTACAACAATTCTGAGATCAATCAGGTACTTCTTTCACTAGAGAGTTTCTTTCTCAATCAGTAAAATTAACCTGAATGTCAGGTACGATATTAGAACATTCATTTGGAATGCGATATTTTGCAGAATCGGTCAACGTCGGCTTAAGTGCAGATATCTCATTGAGTTGGAGATCTATAGGAGACGAAAAAAACTAAATACACTCTTTTTTTTTTCTATAAGGATGTATTTTATAAGAATATCGAAACTGAAATTTGAGCAATTTTAAGAATATTATAAGAATAAACCCGAGGCTGGGATTTTGAAAAGAATATAATTTTGTATCGGTTCAACATTTATAAATACAATACAATTATATGTTTTTAACTAAACCATATAAAATTCTTCCTTTCTCAAAACGGCAAAACTAGCCAAAAAAAAAAAAACCAACAAAAACAGGACTAGCTGTATGTTCGATGGTAATACATTTCTGCAAGAAATTATGTGCGTGATATCAGGCTTAAATGCCTGCAGACTAGCTCCTAACAGACACCAGATACATTCGAAAACAGAAATGTCACACGCTATAATCTAAGAATATTCACAAGAATATTTTCAGCCTAAAATCGGTAAAAAAAATAAGATATTCCGTCATTACTCTTATAAAAAAGAGTGTAATACTGATTGTATTTCTCTGTTACTCAATTGTTACTCGTTATTCATTCTAATCATAGCTATATCTAGGATGTAGAGACGAGTAATGTCTAAACGTTCGTTTATAAGAACATTGTAGATATCCTTAGTATGATGTAAAGATTTATCAAAGTAAAAAATTTGAGAATTTAGCCAAATGGTGATGTCGTATACTCAACCGAATATGAAAAAAGTATATATATCTCAGCCAATTTGTATCGAGTTTTTTGAGACTTAGTGGGGAGGGAGGCTTGGGCAATGTTCTGGGGCACGAAAATGTTTTCCCACCGCTAGGTTGTGCATGATTTTTTGGGTAGGCAATAACTTGTGCAATAATTTTTTTAACAGCAAAAATAGGGCCTGGATGAGAAAGCACGATTTTTTTTCAGCCGTTTTTGCTTTGCATGCCTCCCCTCGCCCACCGCCCACCCCTTTCGCCTCAAAATGATTATGGTCCGTCCCTTATTATTGGACTAGAATCCCATTCATGATCCAGGGGGTAGTAGAAATACTAATAGTCGCTTCATGCTACAGAAACCGGGATAAGCTCAGGCCGGATGGGTCTCTCGGCTCGTGTGCAGAACTTGACTTAAACTCGAACTTGAACAGACGGTAACTCGAACCTTTCTTGATTTACAATAATAATAATAATAATAATAATAATAATAATAAT